ACACACACACACACACACACACACACACACACACACACACACATATAAAGAGAGATGGAGCTGTGGTATTTCCATTCATCTCTCAGGAATCAGGATGGCGGAGTAAGTCCTGCTCTGAACTGAGGAGACTTTATATGAAATCTCACAGAATCAATAATTCTTAATAATTGTTTTTGTTTCTCTCCAGGAAAAAGATGTCGTCGGGCCGGAGGAATCAGCTCAAGGTATGCGTTGATGAAGGACTTTCTGTATTCCTAAGACAGCCCGGGCAAAAAGGATAAACACTGCATGTTTAAAAATGTTCTGACTAATAAAATAACTATTTAAACTGTTAATCGTTATAAAAAGAAGATTAATCAAACCGATAATGAAAAAGTTGCAGCCGTATAGTTTATATCAGACTGACGGAGCACATTCGATGATTGTAAAGGTCTTCCTTTGAATATTGTTTTTTATTTAACTGATGAGAATATCAGATTTTCTTATATAATTAGTTTGATATTATTTATTTATCGAACCAGGATGTTGATGAAGAATGTCAGATTTAATATTTTACATGAAGGCAACACAGAACCAACATTTAGAGGAAGAAAAAGAAAGAAACTAAATGTGAGCAGAGCTTTAAAGATGCTTTTTTTCCCTTACAAAACTAATCTAGAGATTAAAGTAGGACTGGTGATAAAGAGGTCATTTCATTTCTCCATAATGGTTTGTATCAATATGGTTTCTGGTAATAAATAAATAGGTTTATTATACATTTGTGTGAACTAAATACTTGACAAATGAAAAGCATTGAGTATTTTCTCATTTAATTAAGAACTTAAGTGCAAAAATATTCAGATCTTCTGAGAAGTTAATGTTGTTATTATCAAGTCAGACAATATCTCGATGTTATGATTCCATTGAAAGATGATGAATCATCACATTGAGTTATCGTCCAGTCCCAGAATAAAAGCATTTTTCTGTCCCAAATCTTTTTATTTTTCGGGGCAATGAACGTTTCAGAAACGCTTTATTGTTTTCCATTTGCACATACGAGGAATTCTGCTTGGTGACGATAAGCACAGTGTGATAGTTCAAGATAGAGTTTAAGAATCATAAATATTAACTTCTTCTCCTCTTCTTCCTTCTCCTCTTCCTCCTCCTCCTCCTCCTCCTCCTCTTCCTCCTCCTCCTCCTGCTCTTCCTCAGACCTTGCTGCTGCAGATCGGTGAGGCGATGCTGGAGGAGGAGGTGCGGGAGGCTGAGCAGCAGAAGATCAAGCACATGGAGGAGAACTGCCCCGGTTTCTTCCTCCCAGGATGCATGCATGAGCTCCAGGTAAACCTCCTCCTCCGTCACCCTGAGGCTCCATGGAGGCCAGAAACAAACAAACATGGCCGATGTTTGTAGAGATAAATGCATCGCTGCTCTTTCCCCTCACATTTGAACACACACTATTTGTTTAAGTTTTACAACAGCTCCCATCTTTGCCACTGGTGCCTCATGGGAAAACAAGAATCCCATGAGAGCTCTTACTGTTGATGCTAAAATAACAAAGCCCACAGCTGTTGTCATGCTCTACTTATATTCAATAAAGGTGTGTGATAATGGGAAACAACAGGAAATGACATGAATGTGAAGGAATAGTAAATGTGTGTTTCCTGTTTTGTATCAAAAGATAATAAAACAAACAGTAACAGAAAATTGAAATGTTGAGTAAACTTGATCCCCAGCTGAGTGAGTACACAGTTTGTACTGAAGGCTCATCTTCCTCTCTCTCTCTCTCTCTCTCTCTCTCTCTCTTTTCTGACCGACTACAAAAATCAGGATTTTTGCCGGAAACTTCACAAGCAGATAGATTTGGTGGACGAGGAGCGATACGACATGGAGGTCAAAGTGACAAAGACCAACAAGGAGGTACGTCGTTTTCAGAGTTTCACTTCCTGCCACAGATCTTTTGGTACGGTAATGATAATTATTATTTTTTGTATTACAAGCTTTCTGAAATGTTTCGTTTGACTGTGCAAATGTGAGAAACTATCTTATTTAATATGGATACATTTTCATATATTTCTAGAACATAAATCTAAATAAATCAGGTTCAAAAATCTTGTTTCATGTTGTCGAAATATTAGAGTCTCTTATCTCTAATATCTCTTTTCATATCTCTTTGTATCACTCCATAAATCAGAAAATACTGCCTCCCATGTTTTTATTAATGTAACTGTAGTATAAATGAGTGTGTGAGTGATGAGTGAACAAACCCCTCTGTGTGAACCTTCGGCCCACAGAGAGGAATGAACGAGTGAAGTTTGGTGAATGTAAGAGCT